AGGGCTGTGCATATCCCTTTGAATTAGTGTTTTTGTATTCTTTGGGTAGATACCCAGTAGTGGGACTACTGAATTATAGGGTAGATCGATTTTTAACTTTTTGAGGAACCTCCATACTGTTTTCCACAGTGGCTGCATCAGTTTGCATTCCCACCAACAGTGCATGAGAGTTATCTCCACATCCTCGCCAACACTTATTATTTCTTGTGAAAACAACATATTGTTTTAAGCATACTCAGAACCTCAAAAAATTGTGTGGAAGGCCCCCAGGAAATTTGAAGAAATTCCTTTTCTCTATAAGTTGATAAATTACAACTGATTCATTGACTATAATGCAGTAAAATCAGACAACAGTTATGAAAGAGAGGCAAAAATCAATTTTTACATCAACTAAATAGCTTTTGGGAAAGGAGGAAATATGTGTAAGTGATGAACTATTGCATATGAAACTCACAGTGTATGGCCAAAGCAGCAATCATTCTTAAGGTTTGCTTTCTATATTAGCATTAGCTTTTAAAAAATTTCATGTGGGGCACCTGGGTGGCTTAGTCGGTTAAGTGTCCGACTTCGGCTGAGGTCATGGTCTCACAGTTTGTGGGTTCAAGCCCTGCATCAGGCTCTGTGCTGGCAGCTCAGAGCCTGGGGCCTGCTTTGGATTCTGTGTTTCCCTCTCTCTCTGCCCCTTCCTTGCTCATGCTCTGTGTCTCTCTCAAAAGTAAATAAACTCAAAAGTTTACTCAAAAGTAAATAAACATTAAAAAAAAATAAAATAAAAAGTTTATTATTATTTTTTTTCTGTGTAAGATATTTTCACTGCTCAAAACGATAGCAAAGTATAAACTTAGGAACATGTCACTTCCATTCCTATCTCTCTGCCTGCTCCTCACCCAAACTCATCCCTGTAGGTAACTTAAAAAAAAAAAAAATCAGTCTTTGGTTTATCTTTTTGCACAATGAGGGAAATATTATATATGTTCTTTTTCCATTCTCTTTTATGCAAAAATCTTGCCTACTGTATCAGATGTTTTCCTATTAGCTAAGGTATTGGATTTTGTGTTGAGAAATCCATTGATTTCTTTTTTTATTATTATTTTAAAATCAGAAATGGGTGTTGAATTTGTCAAATTTTTTCCAGCTTCTGTGGCAATGGTCAGTTTTTTTCTCCTTAGAAAAAATTAGTATCGTTAGTACCTTAAATTATTTTACATGACAATTTATCTCAACTTTGGTTGATTTTCCATCCTTATTTATCAATAATTGTAAACATTTAAAACATTCCTTATAGTTAGATCTTTCTCTCCAGGTATAAACACATTTAGTTCCTCTTTGATATTTCTTGTGTAACATGTTTCAGAAACTTAGAAATATAGCAAATGAAGACTAACATGTTTTCCAAAGTGACTTTCAAAGAATAGACTTTCCATGAATTTATTTGCTTCTCTCATTCCTGAACTGTTATGTTTAAGTTTGAAAGTTTGGCTTTCAAGATGATCTGCTTCGTTACCATTGCATTTCAGTAGAGATACTCAGCTACCAAGTAAAAATGTTTAAAGAAGTCTTTCCTCTTACATTTTCTCCTCCACGTAGTGATGTTCCTATTAGGGACTCGAAGGTAAAGCAGAAAATGAGAGAACATTTCTGATGTTGTTTGGGGGACTATAGGTAATTACCACTGTTAAATCTAGCTTGTTCATCTCTCCAGGCCTCTAAGCATATGAAAGTTGTTTGGACCAAAGATATATCTTGTTCCAGGCATTTAACTTTTCATTATTTTTGAAGATTGAAAATTTGGCATTTAGTAGCCATAAATTAAAAACTGAGCCACATGTGCAACCAAATCCAAGCCTGAGGTCGTGTTTCCACACCTAATGGCATAAAGCAGTTTCCAAATCTTTTCTCACTAGCCTCTCCGATTCACCAACCCTTTCTCATTCTGCTGTAGAGGAAAAGGGTTTAACATTATTTACAAGTAAGAATTATTTTCAACATGTCAAGGTAAAGACTGGGGCACACTACAAAGTAATAATGCAGTATGCTCCTCACAGGTGTTTTCTTTCTCCTTCTTTCAGTTAATTTTTTCTTATTCATTGATTTTTCCCTACCTCCTTTGTCCTCACAGTTGTCTGTTTGTCAAAAAACTTCTCTAGCAGCTTCTTCTATCTTTTTTTGTGTGGGAGTTCTGTACAAATTCCACACTGCATACTTCAATTGCTGGGTATACTGTGGTTGTTATAGTTTGTGTACCCTGGAAGGCTTAGGGGATGTGTTCCACATAGAGTTTTGAGGAGTTTCCCCTTTCTCTTAAAAGTCTTTTCAAAGCAATTATTCCAGAATGAATTATGTGTCTACTTCTACCTGCACAAAAAAATTTTGAAGGGAATCCGGGAGAAATCATGATTAGGTCATAGATTTGGAAAGTACTGAAAATTGCCTAACCCAGCATTTGACATGTAAGAAAATCCAGGCACAGAGTGGTTGTGTGACTTGCTTAAAAACACACAGGAAATGGGGCACCTGGGTGGCTCAGGCAGTTGAGCGGCCAACTTGGGCTCAGGTCACCATCTCGCGGTCCGTGAGTTTGAGCCCCGCATCGGGCTCTGTGCTGACAGTCTGGAGCCTGTTTCAGATTCTGTGTCTCCCTCTCTCTGACCCTCCCCCGTTCATGCTCTGTCTCTCTCTGTCTCAAAAATAAATAAACGTTAAAAAAAAATTAAAAAAAAAAACAACACACAGGAAAAAGAAACACATGGAGAAAGGATAAAGGAAAGGCCTGCATGTGTTCTGATCTGGATTAGTGACCAGGAATACAACTCAGATCTTACTTTCAATTCATGGCTATTTTGACCACAAGAGGAAAACTGGTCAGCCTAAATTGGAAGGTCAAGGAAACAGAGAAAGTTTTGTCCTCAAAACATACCTCACTGTCCAGCTCTTTGTAGAAAAATAATAATAATTAAAAAAAGGTCCTCTATCATTATAGATGTTATTGCTTGATTCCTCTTCCCAAGGCCTAACCACTATGTCTTGGCTTCTTTTTCACCCATCATTTGCCATTTCTGAGTATTGATTGCCCAATGTTCTGTGGACCTTTTCCGCTCCCTTTAGGCTGAATTAAATCTTTTATTGTTATTTTTTATTAATTCATTGGCAGAATGTTTTTTCCACACTCTAATAAGAGCTTTGGCTCTGAAAGAAGTATTTATTATACATGTAATTTAGCCCCAAAGGAAACCAGAAAAAAAGCAAACTGGAACAAGAAATTAATTTTCAATTTATAGGGATATTAACAGATGAAGTATGGTTAAAAAAAATTCCTGAAGTAAAATAACCACACTGCCATTCAATCCTTGCCATTAATGTGGTTTGTCATAATACCAAATTAAATCCATTTTTTAAAAATGTTCTGTGCTCTTTTAAACAAATATTTTTTTTTTCTAAATTTTAAGCAGAAGGAAAACGTCCATTCAAGGTAATCAATATTAGAGTACTTACTATTCGTCAGGCACTGTGGTCGGCCCTGAAAAGGATTCTAAAATGAATAAGTCCTTGCCATTGTTAGCCTGTGCATGTCTTCTTTGTCTTTCAAAATGTCTTTGCACAGAAAAAAGTCTGTGAGGGAATCACACAAATTCCTACACTGCCCCTTCATCACTAGGTCATATGAGTCCCTTGACACCCTCAAAATCAGAAAATGCCTGCCCTCATGGAATTTGTATTCTGGGGTATGTGTAGGGGGGAAAAGACAATAAGCAAATAAGCAAAATTTGTGTTTTAGAGAAAAACAGAGAGGGGCTTAGGGAGTTCTTGGCATGGTAATGTTGCAATTTCAAATACAGACGCCAGGGAGGGTCTTAGAAGGGGACCTGAAGTAATGAGCTGAGTGAAATGAAGATGTTAGACAAGAAGACATCTATAGGGGAGAGCATTTCTGGCACAGGAAACACCAAGTGCCAAGGCCCTCAGTTAGGCATGTGCCTGGCCTATTCAAAGATGAACTAGGAGGTAAATGACCAGTATGGCTGGAACTGGCCAACTAGGGAGAGAGCAGTAGGAGAAAATTTAGAGAGCTAAGAAGCGGAGAGACTTTGGGTTTTTCTGGAGTATTTTGTTGAGCAGAGGAGTAACATGATCTAATTTACAGTTTAGGTGGATCATGACCAAAGTTGATAATGGCCAGAAGCAGGAATACAAGAAGCTACCACAATGTTAGGAGGTATTGACTGGAGAGAGAGACGGTTGTAATGGAGAGTATTGTGAGAAATGGTCGAATTTGGCACACATTTTGTTGGTGGAGTTACCAGGATTTGCTGAAGAATCAAAGGTGTGATGGGTCTGAATGAGGCCAAGTTGCTGCCAGCTTTGGAAACCAGTCACATTCTCAGTATCATCTTTGCAAAAGGTGGAGATTTTTAAACGTCCTGATTTTATGTTTTCATCTCAGACTATCTATTCAGCATCTCCAGGATCGTGGCCCTGTAATTAATACACTTAAATGTTTTTCTGTGATTTTTCAGCCAATTTGACTGGAGCTAATGAAACCTGGTGGTTTAGGGCTCACTTGAAAGAGGCTACATTCAGGGCACAAATTGCGAGCACATTGCTGTGCAAAGTATGTGGGTAGGTGGTCTCGTGAATGTACATATCCCTCTCTGATCCCTCTCGGAGAAGAGAAACACTCGAAGACACCTGAAGTGGGTCGATCCAACCACGGAAGGCTTCCTGGAGGGGCCCGACTTTGAAAAAAGCTTTCCCAGGCCTGTATCCGAGGGTAAGAAGAATAGAAAAGGGAGTGTGGCGTGACTGAGGGGTAACAAAAGGCCCACGCCAGAACTCCGGTTGGCTGCCATCCTCCCGGGAACAAATTGGGCTTCAGTAACCGCGCCAAAGGTGTATCTCCACTAAGGCCACGCCTCCTCCAGGCAAGGACCCGCCCATTTCCCCGTCCGCCACTGCGGCTCAGGTTTCCGGAAGGTCCTGATTTTAGAGCGGACCAAACCGGATGAAGGTCGCGCGCCCTCTTCCTCCCGTGTGCCGGTTCACAAAGACCCCTCTTCTAAGTGGGGTGGGTACGCGTCGTCCTTTTGCGCAGGCGCGCGGTGTGAGGTCCACGCTCGCCTCTATGCCGGCAGGGCACGTCTCGCGGGTCCGCGCCTTGTATCGGCGCATCTTGCTGCTGCACCGGGGTCTGCCCCCAGACCTTAAAGCCCTTGGTGACCAGTACGTGAAGGACGAGTTTAGGAGGCATAAGACCGTTGGTTCTGACGAGGCCCAGCGTTTCTTGCAGGAATGGGAGGCAAGTGAATGCCACCTTTTCTTTGCCCCAGACCCTCAAAGGTGTCCCGGTTTGTCCCCGTGAGAGACCTCCTGTCCCTGCTGGTTTCCCGCGGGCTCCACGCAGGATCGAACAGCAGCAGCCTCTTGCGTTTGAATTAAACAGCGCAAAGCTGTTCAAACAGTACTTCCCAAAGTTACATCACCTGCGGGTCTATTTCTGCCACCGGTTCCTGGCAGGAGCAGATCCCGTTATATCAGCGTCTCCAAAACAATTCGTCTTGAGCTCATTCCCATGCCAGGCTCTGGAGGAATGAGGATGGGAGGTTACAAAATTGAATAAATCACCGTCAAGCAGCTTGTTGCCTCTCCAGTACCTTGCACGTAGCAAGCGCTTATTAATAAATTAATGGTTTTCTCGTAACGTAGTTTTCAGACTTAGAGGCTTGTTTCCATACTGTTTTCTAAATGTCCGTGCCCTTTCTCGGGTCTTAATAATGTTCTCAGTTGACTGATAGCAGATACCGGATACAACTGCAAGCAGTGGAGGAGAAAAATGCTCAGAGTTAAGTCAGGTGAAAGTTGATTTCTCGGGAATTTCAAGTTTCGTTACTTTGTTGCATGCTGTACTGTACCATTGCATTAAATCTCAGACACGTGCATTGGGGATTAGCCCTTTGACTTCCCATCCCTTTTTTAGAGTAAGGCTATTTAGAATATTTCGTGGAGTTAGGGGCCTAGCATAACTGCCTTAGTTATGATTTGCAAATATCAATAAATGAATGGATTGGGAGTTAGAGTGTCATCTCAAGTATTTGAAAGCATGAAACAGTGTTAGTAAAAGAACAGAGGTAAGTGATTCTTTGAAAGCTTAAAAAGTTGATGGCCAAATTGATGTCGGGTTTTTTTTTTTTTTAATTATAAAGATTATGGTTTGAGTGAACACAGAACGTTTTCACTGACTCAGAATTCTTGATTGTAGTTTGCAAGATGGTTATTTAGACAATGGTGAAATTTAGAACTTTTATAAAAATCATGTGTGTTGGAGGTAATTAGACTGCATGGAGCCAGGGAAGTTGAATCTTAAATGCAAATTGCTTTCTTTTAATATGGTAACTTGGTCTTGGAGCCAGAACTGGATTCAGATTCAGGTTCTGGAATTTATTAAATTTCACATCGCTTAATTTTTCCTAGTCTTATTTTCTTATCTGTAAAATAATAACAGTATTTATGCGCCTCTAAATTAATGTCTGTAAATTTATTTATAAGCACTTTTTTAAATTGCTAATTGCAGTGAATCTGTAAGAAATTAGGGTGTTTAAGTGACATTTTTAAAGCTAAGTCAGTTTGTGACAGGACAGAAAGGAGAATCTAGCACTGTGCTGAGAAGATATAAGGGCACTTTGAGAGGTCCTAAAGTGTAAGAACTTGGAAGTTTTTTAGCAAGAGTAAAAACTCAGAATAAATTGATAATAGGCTGGAGGAGAGAGGCATAAAAATAGAAACAACCAGGTAAATAAAAAATGTGTTGATCAACCTACGAGGCTTGGTATCAGGAATTCAGCCTTTTTTAAAAAAAAAACCTTTCGAAATAATCTTAGGCTTACAGAAGAGTTTCAGAGACAGTACTGAGTTCCCATATATTCTATATCCAGCTTCCCCTTACATTAAATTAACATTGTACATAACCATGGTGCAGTTATCAAAAATAAGAATGTAACGTTAAAAAAATAAGGAAATTAACATTGCCACAGTGATGTTAACTACAGGCCTTATTCACATTTTGCCAGTATATCCCCTAATGCTCTTGTTCTGTTGCAGGATCCAATCCAGGATCCCACATTGCATTTAGTCATCCTGTCTCCTTAATTTTCTCTCGTCTGTGACAGTTCTTCAATCTTTTACCTTTCATGTGTTTGACACTTTTTTGAAAAATGTTGGTAAGTTGTTTTGTAGAATATCTCTCAGTCTGGGTTTGCCTGATTTTTTCCCCCTCATGATTAGATTGATGTTGTGCATTAGTGGGAGGGTGATACCATAACAGTGATGAGTTTTCCTCAACACATCATATCAGAGGGCACGTCATACCAACATGACTTATTGTTTGTGATGTTAACTGTGGTCGCTTGGTTAAAGTGATTATCTGCCAAGTTTCTCCACTGTAAAGTTATTATTTTCCCTTTTGAAATTACTGTATCTATTGGGGGATACTCTGAAGATATACAAATATTTTGTTTCTCCTTAAAGTTTGCCAGTTAGTTTAGCATTCATCGATGGATCTTGCCATTGAGTTCTCGTTGTGATTTTCTATTGCCCTCATTCCCTCTGAATTTATTTCTTGGAATGTTTCTGTGGGTAAGCCTTGTCCCTTCTTCCCCATTATTGATCTAGCATTTTCATTTATTTTTTTGGAATGAAGAAAAGTGTATTTTAATGTGGCTAGGGCCCTGTAATTAATGTGTTCGCAGCTGGGTAAAGATTAGTTTAAACCTAGTGATCTAACTATTTGGGTAAAGTAATAATTCTCACAGTTTCAAGGCAGCTCAGTCTTTCTCAAGTCTGGGAGTTAGAAGGGGGGTAGGGTGGATTCTGCCAAGAGAGGTAGTTTTTCTTTTCCAAGGATGAAGACTAGAGAAGATTCTAATGACTTGGAGGGGAATAGAACTTGGCTAGCACAGTGATACCAACAAGTGATATCCTTCAGCCTTCTGGGCTTTTTTTCTCTCCTATGTGTTCTTCAAAATATCTGATTTATGATTATGTTATATATGATGCTACTATTTATGGCATGGGTTTCTGTTGTTTTGGTTAATGATGATTACATATTTGGCATGCATAAGTATTACTAGCTTGATGCTTATGTTTATGTCAAGCTAATTAAGAGTAACACAGTTGTAGACTTACTGTCCTTTGTGGACTTTGGATTTTGATATTCTCTCATATATTTCTAAAATTACTTAAGAACTTGAATGTATTCTGAATTTGCTTTACTTTAAAGGGTAAACTTGGGTATGGGTACCACTGGGGAAAAGAGAAAGGAAGGATCAGGCATATTAGAGGTCCCAGCATTAGGAGGAAAGTTCTCTGTTCCTTTCGTTTGTAATCATGGAAAACTGGCAAATGATAGAGCGAATTCAGCTGGGGAACTTTCTGTTCAAGGACCACTTAGGGGAAGGTAGGAAAGTATTTCATGTTTTCTAAGGATAAAAATATATATGCTTACATACAGAGAAAATAGTGAATTTATATAATATCTTACCATAAGAGAAAAAAAAATGTAGGTTCAGGAAGAGTTGTTGGGAATCTGTTAGGGAGAATGTGTGTTGTAATCTTACCTCAGATCTTTTAGGAGGCAACTCTTAGCAGTGGAATTGGGGCTGGGTAGATGAGGGGTCTTACTTATTATTGCATTTTTAAAGTTGTAACTGCTCAGTTTTGAAGAATAATTGATTTAGGTAATACTTTCCTTTTTTCCCCCCTCTCTGTCTGCCCTGTTGTGGCGAGAAGGACTATTCACCACTTATTTTCTGGGAAATCAGAATAAACGTTGAAGATTAAATAGCAAGTAAAACATGGTTGTTATAGAATGTGAGATGAAGAGTGATAAACTGCTGTCAGGACTCACTCTGAACAGACTCTGTGTGTTTAATTTTTCCTTTTCTGCCCCATTTGTTTATGTACATTGTTTTCTTGTCAGGTTTCTTTGTTTTTCCTAAGTAGCTGTTTTGCTCTGAGTCTGTTGGGATATGTTTATAGTAGAGGTTATTTCTGGAAAGAAGTTGTTTCTTTTTGCTTACACATTCTATAAGTAGTTATCGATCACATTATCGATCATGATATCGATCTTATTATTGCCAGGCAAAGTGCTAGGCATTGTGGCACACAAAAATGAATAATAATTGTATTTTATTTTCATGGTGTCCAAAATTTAGTAGCGTATATTAGACAATTGTAATACAGTAGAGGGGCGCCTCAGTGGCTCAGTCGGTTGAGCATCTGACTTTAGCTCAGGTCATGAGCTAAAGTGGGTTTGAGCCCTGCATCAGGCTCACTGCTGTAAGCACAGAATGCGCTTCAGATCCTCTGTCTCCCCCTTCTCTGCCCCTCCCCTGCTCACTCTGTCTCTCAAAAATAAATAAACATTAAAAAAATTCTAATACAGTATGAAAGTGTTAAATGCGATGGGAGCAAGTAGGGAGTGGAGACGGTTGAGGGCCACATATAATGTCTAGTTGAGTCTTGAGCAAGTCAAAGTTACCATGTCAAGAAAAAGACTTTCTCAAAAGTGGGAATAACATATACAGAGGTATTGAGGTCAGAAACAGTATGACTTTTTCTAGGATTTGCAGCGATGTATTTAGAATTTAGTGTCGTATATGAGAGATTAGGAAGAGATAAAGTTAGAGAGGTAGCAAGAGCCAGGATATTCTCCTAAGGATTTTAGGAGTCCCTGAATTTTAGGATTATTTGGAATTCCTGAAAGATTTTAAGCAGTGGTGAAATGATTCGAATTATATTCTAGAAAGATCACTTTTGCAGCAATATAAAGGAATGATGAAGGATGAGTCAGATTGAAGGTAGGGAGTATTATTAGGAGAGATGTTGTAATCCCAAATATATATGTGCCCGAACAAAGACAGGTGTTGAGAATGGGGAGTATGGATTTAAGTGTTATCCTTTATAATGTAGAATGGGACTTGACTTGGTGACTGATGGAGGATTAATGAAAGAAGAGGAAATAGAATGGATACCTCTCAGGTTTTCGAACATGATACCAGTAACCAGAGTAGGTCTGTAGAAAGGGCAGATGAAGAATGAGTACAGTATGGTACATTTTGTGTTAAGCATTTTGGTGGGACAGTCAGGTGGAAATGTTCTGAGGTATAAGTCTCATACTTAGCAGACAGGTTGTGGCTGGAGATAGAGAATTGGAATTCATTATCTGTAGTTAGCTGGTCGTTCAAAGGTATGGTTGAAAGTGCCCAGGTTGGGTAAAACCTGGGCGAAGGTAGGCAGAAATAG